CGCACACTTATTCCAGCCCTGCCCTTAGGGGAGAAAAAAGTTACTGTACAAGCTACCTAGTCTAATACTCTGATCGAATACTTTGATTGTCATGAAATAGCGATATATAAAAGTGCTGTATTCAACTTGAGTATTTAGGTTGATTTTTTTTTTTCTTTATAGTTTTTCTAATGGTATTAATCAATGTGTTCCTTGGTTTTACTCTCATGTTCAAAATATTATTTTTCAAGTTTTTAAAGTCATCAACAGATTCTCTCTCTTCTGCTTCATTCCCAAACCAATCACTCTTTTCTTCACCATCTTCATTTTATGGCCCTGTCACATAGTAACGAATAGAGCTAACTTACAGTATGCCAAGCGTACTGATTTTTTTTCTCTCAAAATATAGATACACTCAAATTCTTGTCAAAAAACAAGCATCCTGGCGTATAATGAATGAGGAACGAATGCTGATCCTACAACTACAGTAGCGTAAATATTAACCAATGACAACACGTAGAGTGTAATTTTCTTTTTTTCTTTTTAAACTAAGCCAAAACAACGTAAATTACGTACCACAACGGTTTCGACCTTTATCAAAGGTCATCATCAGGTGAATGAACTAGACTAAACTAGTTCGTACCATCGGTAGATCTTCTCCGATGACGTGCGCCCTCTGTTATTGTTATGTAACAATTGAAAAAGTGGGTCGTAAACTTATCAAAAAGATCGTTAAGCAATGTCGAGACCACGGTCCTTGCTAGGGGCCTAAATTTTGCAGTAGCCTACAATAAAATCAAGCCGATCGAGGACATCGTAGTGGCTACAGAAATGGCTTGTAAACTAGTCCCCAAAGCTGAAGGAGATCTACTAAGAGCTAAGGTCACAAACATTGTAAGGTCTACAAGACTACCTCCATCAAACATACTCTCCAAGGAAAGAAAAGCACTAGACAATTTAAAAGAAGTCCAAATAGGGCTGTCTCTTATACACATCTAGATGTGTATAAGAGACAGGCTGTATTGTATCCCCAAGATACATAAGCCCAATTGGCCCCTACGACCAATCATTGATTACACAGGGTCCATATGTTATAACCTGTCCCGTAGCTTGGCAGATCTACTAGTACCCATTCTGTCTCTTATACACATCTAGATAGCAATTGGTCAACAACATCAAAGATATTCAGCTGAACCCAGATGAAACGTTTGTGTCGTTTGATGTTACATCACTATTCACAAAAACACCCGTGAAGGAGGCGCTGAACATTGTTAAGGAAAGATTAATGCTGGATGGTGGACTGAAAGAAAGAACAAACTTAAATGTAGAAGACATCATTGAACTATTGGAATTTGTTTTAACCACCACATATTTTTCTTTTAACAATGTTATCTTTAGACAGAAATTTGGTATGGCTATGGGCAGTCCTGTGTCACCTTTGGTTGCTAACATGTACATGGAATGGTTGGAGGAGAAAGCTATCTCGAGCGCTACACCTGACACCAAGCCTCGTTTTTGGAGAAGATACGTTGATGACATCTTAGCTATCATTCCCAAAGGTACCGTATATGCTATAAACCACCATATTAACAACATAGACCCTTCAGGCAACATCAAATTCACTCATGAACTCATGGAGGACAACATTATACCGTTTCTAGACACCCTCATCACAGTACATGAACAAGGAAACATCACCACATCCGTATATAGAAAAGCTACACACACAAACCAATACTTAAATTTCAATTCGCATCACCCATTACAACATAAATTAAGTGTGGTTCGGACATTGATGGAGAGGTGCGAAAATATCGTCACTACAGACCGAGAAAAGAAAAGAGAAATGAACAACATACGAAAAGCCCTACAAGCCTGCAATTACCCGGATTGGTCAATGGAAAGAGTAAAAGAACTAAGGAAAAAGAAACAGCAAGGGAACCAAGAAAGAAGAGATGATCAATCAAATAAAACAAGAGGAAATATTAGCATCCCATATGTTAAAGGCCTATCCGAAAGGATTAAAAGAAGTATGAAAAAACATCACATGAATGCTTACTTCAAGCCCTTCAACAAAATTCGGGAGATGCTGGTCCATCCAAAAGATAAAATCAAGAAAGAAGAGACTAGTGGTGTAATATACCAAGTTAGTTGTAGTAATTGCAAGGCAGTCTATGTAGGGGAGACAGGAAGACCATTCAAAACTAGGTTATCAGAACACAAAACAGATATCATCACTAACACAGCAGGAGGTGTCCGTACCAGAGCAGCCCGTGCCTCAACATCTACGGTGATCCATAAGTCTGCTATTACGGATCACATGGTAGTAAACAATCATTTACCAGATTGGAACAACACAAAGATCTTGGGGAAGGAATCTTCCAGAGTACAACGCACCATCAAAGAGGCCATCTGGATCAGAAGGAATAACAACACCATGAACAGGGACGAAGGAGCATACGAGCTATCACACATCTATGATGACCTCCTACACCAACAGACAGAACCCGGAGGCCCCCGGAGAAAACCTCATAACAACACAGAGGGCGCACGTCATCGGAGAAGATCTACCGATGGTACGAACTAGCTTAGTCTAGTTCATTCACCTGATGATGACCTTTGATAAAGGTCGAAACCGTTGTGGTACGTAATTTACATTGTTTTGGCTTAGTTTAAAAAGAAAAAAAGAAAATTACACTCTACATATTTACAAGAAGCCAAATGAAATTATTTGAACAATGACAACACGTTCGTAGCGTCCGTCCAACCAATGTTCAGTGTACACAACGAATGTGGAGCAAATGTCACACATATGCCCAGCATGTTGCGGCTGGCCACATGATGCATCTCATCTGGGTTGACCTACACTTCACAAGTTTACCTCAGATAGCAAAATTGCTTCATTACTGTATGCCTCCCAAGATACAACCAAGTGGGCTGTACTGTGCAGGCACGTTATTATATCGGTAGACTAGCATCAAATTTATTTATTTATTTATTTATTTGTTTTTATACTGGGTTTCCTCTTCAGTAACAAATTACTGTTCTCCCAGAGGGCCCAATACACATAAAACATTAAAATTTGAAGAATTTACAAATCATTAAAAAAGTCATAATTTTAAAAGCCATCACCACAACAACCGTCAAATTCACAAGTCAAAAAACACAAATCATTCAAACATCTTAGAGGTTGGTATACCCTGTGTATTCGTTGGCCATTTTTACCCATTCGTTAGACAAACGCTATGTATATGTTATGCATTCACTATGGCAAAGTTTCAGATGGATTGGACTTATTTGGACGAAGAGAAAATGTAAACCTAACATGCACACAATGCGCGAAACGTTAAAAACAACAAATACTCACCGTATACATAGCCTATTTAGCAGAACATTGTTCAAAATCAACTGACCCCCAGCTTATCTCTGCGAACTCCTATGAACAGCTAACGAGTACAACGTATGTCAAACATGTCACGAATGAATGTCAACTTGCACGAACGTAAACCAAAATTTTCAATAACGTTGGCATACGTTGGTTGTATTTGGTACAGTGTGACTAGGGCTTTAAATCAATATCTCTTCTTAAGAAAAATTCCATATACTGTACAGTTAATGAATTTAATAAAACTTATGGTCACGATATTTTAAAATACTATAGTACCAAATCTATAAAATAGTATTGTTCATATCATATTTACAAACCAGATGAATATCTTAAACTAAGAACCAAATCTTGCATATAAAATTTTGAGGTACACTCATAAAACGAAAAGTGGATGTACAACTTCATTAATCAAAAATTTTGATGTTTATGTCTACTGTAAGGGTATTATCAACCTTGAAATCGGGGGTTCAAAACTCTCGCTATGCACATCGCTTGTGTCCTTGGGCAAGGCACTTTATCTACGGTTGTCTCTCTCCACCCAGGAGTACAAGTGGGTACTGTACCTGGTAGTTTCAAACACATCCTGCGCTGAATACAGCTGCAACATTATGGAATTCCCCCATGGGGCTTGAGTGTGTGTTCCATATGTGCTTCATCCAGTGATGCGGGGGTAATAATGTAAGTGCATAGAGGTCCCTACAATATGCGCTATATAAGTCGACAATTATTATTATTATTATCTGAGAATCCATCAGCATGTAAAATGTGCTACTACATGTATGTCTCATATAAACTATTTTATATTCTTTACCATATTCTAATAGAGTAAAAGTGAAAATTCTCATAAATGTGATGAACTCAAATTCATCCTTCTTTGGCTGTTGAAATGTTATAATCCTCAGATATCCATAGTCTGTAATGCACATTATTTTAGCCATTCTACTGAATGAAAACAATTTGACAAGACACAATATAATATATTATTTTTTTATAATTTATTTTTTAAAATCTAAGTAAATACAATTTCTAGAAAAATTCTCTGATAAATTGATCTGTTTTTATACCAACTTTCTACACTATCAAATTTTATGTGACAAAAAAATGTGCCCATATATGGGTCCAATGACGTCATCACATATAATCAAATTGTATCAAAAAATGTTGAACGTGTTCAACTAATATGTTCCCACACATTTTATATGACGCTTTTTTGATGAAATTTGATAGTGTAGACAAAAGGGAATGAGGTGTACACAGTTATGACATCAACATGTGCATTCTCTCACTATATTATACAGTATAAGGTTACTAAAGGATAAAAAAGAAAAATTTACTAAGAATAATAATATTCATTTCATTTTCATATATATTAATTTCCACTTTATACAAAAATGACTTTGATACATATACAACAATTAAAAGAATAAATCAAGCAAAGAAGCGAAGCTTGTTTTATACAGCAATAATTATTAAGATTAGTAATATAAATATTAACATAAATATTAACATTCTAACAATAATAATTAAAAAAAAACAAATACTAAGGCACCGTGTTACTTAACAAAAATAATAAAAACAATAAATTGTAAACAGAAAGTGATACTGGAATAGAAAACAAGTGAAATTAACTTACATTTGTGAAAAGTCTGTCAGAGTCTTGAGACTAATTTTTGGTGTTCTGAACAATGAATCCATTCTCGCTTGCAAATCAAATTCTTATCAAGTAATCAATTTAAAGTCAATCTGTAATTAAAAGAAATCATAATGAAAAGTTTTGGAATAAATTAAATACACAGCAAATACAAAATGTTATTATAACATTGTGAATGTTGTGGTTTATTTATCATATACTTATTTATTTGACTTTACACAGGCAAATATACAATCAAATAACAATGAAATAAAGAGTTGTCGGTGACGGCAAAGGCCAACAGGATTATCGCACCTCTGATAGCAGTAGGTTCAAATTCAGAAAATAACTTTTTATAACACCGTGTGGCAACGTTATATAGTCAGAACTTATGTTATAATAAAACATATTTATTATTCTACAAAAAAATGTTCTGTACGCCTCGTTGCAATATGACAACCTAATGTAAAAGTGTTAGACTGAGTAATTTGATAGTTCTACTCAGAATGGATTATAGCACATTTAGGGGCTATGATGTACTGTAAATATTCTGTTGAAACTAAATTTCTAAAAGGTAGCCAGTACTTAACTAAGTCTTACCCCACTAGGCAAGAGATGCATTTAAGTCCTCTCTCAAGACCTCATACTTAAGTATAAAAACTGCACATACTGTATATATTTAACATTGGCAACTTACTATAAAAACAAAAATTATTTTTGCAAATTTTGTTTCTTCTTTTTTTATTTTTCGTCGCAATTTCAAGACCTGTTAAGTGTCCCGCATTGATGTAGGACAGCTTAGCTCAGTCGGCTAAACTGGTGGTAGCCACTGTGTGTGCACTGAACCATGGAGATCACTTAGTCCCCGGTTCAATTCCCATCACTGCTCTCCCTGTATTTCAGCTAAAGGGCTGAAATGCAAGTTATGATTGCATACCGTCTTTTAGATAAGACATTTAAGCTGTTGGTCCTGTGTGCATTATGGCCCATGTGCATGTTAAAGAACGCTGTACACTCTTCGGAAAAGAGTAGGGGATTGTCTCCCGGTGTACTGCCCAATCACCATCAGAAGGACCCCACTGGAAATAAGTCTTCTTGAGACTTTCGTAGGTTATCTATGGGGTTTACACCGAATAAATCTAATCCAATACAGTGAAAAACTTGTTGTCCCGCAGCAATGCCTACATTTCTAAAATTAAATTCATGCAATTCTTCACTGCATACAACAATCATGTATACAACAATCGTGGAATATAATTATTATTTTTTATTAAAATAGATTATACTGATTGAAATTATTGTTAAAAACAGTAATTTGTCCATTGGCATTCCTTTAATGTCCCCACTATTCATTTACAGCGATCTAGGGTAACATTTCTTTAAACTTTTCACGCATCACCACTAAACATGGTGGTGCTGAATGAGAACTCCCCTTTGTATGTCCGTTCTCATCTGTTAATTACAAATACAATGAATGTTCACAGTTAAGAGAAAATAAGTAGGCCTAGGCCTAGACAAAATACTGCTTTAAATAAAATATTACCTAGGCCTATTACATAACGAAAAAGCGTGACCCTATATTGAATACGCGTAGCATACTGTACATTTATCAGAAAGCTAGTTAGCACTATGCTTACAAACAGAAAATCTACGAGTTCTGTACGCAAAGCGAATAATCCTAACCCACCTTGTAGGCCCTAGCCTAGACATACCTACCTACCCTTTCTAACTAGGCATAGAATTCTCTCTCAACAATTGAAATCAACCTTCCAGTTGCTTAACGACAAAGAAATGGCTGAAATAATAATACAAAAATCCCCATAAAGGAAGTATATTTCAAAACATACGTGTTCTTATTTCATGAAGTCTATTTATAGAATTTGTATCATTGACAACTGTAAAACTGTAAAAACAACGTCACAGCTAAAACAGGCTAGGCCAGCAGCGATGGATGAAAAGACACGAAGAATAAGCACATACCAAAGTTTAAAGGTCAATCAGTATTTAAAAAGTAATCATTTCCTTGAAACGTAGTTTTTTGTATATCATTGTCATCGAATAGATAATCCTAGTGCGGCTTAAACTAAGGGGAACAAATGAACAATTATTTTTCGATAACTTTATCTCGGACAAAAGACGGTTTTTAAATTTAAAGCATACCCCTGTAGTTAGAAGCCTAGCCTAACGCTTCTCTTAGTCTAGAGACTAGGGCCTAGGTAGGCCTAGCAGCATCTATACGCCTAGGGCCTAACTACCGCGGGGGTCCCTTTTTAGCTAGGTTAGGCCTACATAGAGCAGGAAGGTGTACATAGAGTAGGCCTATTTTCTTTTATAGAATGCCAAATAAAAGTTAAGCTTAGACTACTTCTCACTATTGATGATATAAGTGAAAATAATATTCGATCAAATCAATACGATCATCAGAATTATTCATTAGAATTTGAATAGGCTATCATTTATAGAGGGCGCTAAACATAAAATTGTATTTGTCAGATAGTGTGTCTTGTGGTTGATGATTATTATAAATTTATTAAACAAAAGTACCAGTGGCTGATCAAGTAAAATAAGGCAACATAATAATCAAAATAACAAATAATAATTACTAATAATAATTAAAAGGCAAAGTTACATTTAAGTTTCCCTAAACAAACTCGTCAACATCAATCAATCAATCTTTATTAAAATTGTAAGTCACAAAATAATGTGATATAAGGTGATTTTTAACTATTTGAAAGCGTGATTTTTTTTTGCTTCGGAAATTCCCTATTGGGGAAGGGAAGAATTGGGGCGAGGGGTTTTTGTGTGTGTGTGTGGGTGGGGGATAGGCCTGTGTAAAATTCAATCTATCACTCTTGGCCCTACTCTTTGACAGTGTGCCAAAATATAAAATCCACTGTACAAAAGTTGACTGCTTCTTAAAGGCATGATATAAGAACAGCCTGACGGCGAATGCCGTCTATTTTAACGGATAATTCAAAAGAAAAAAAAAAAAACCCGTTGTAAATAATTTCAACAAAATTTAAATGCACAAAAATAAACTTTTTCTCTTGCCGTTTCATGACTTTTATTCATTAGTATAGCGCCACCAACCTGCGAGCACTACCGGGATTGGTACTGTTGGCCTACTGGTACATCTAATCGTGCTACACCTGTGATGGAACTATATCATATGATTGGCAATGAGAAGTACAATTTTCCCATACCCCCACAATTCAAATTCACCACAAAGCACCGATTGGTTTAAGCAGGGCTTGTCCTTGAATTACGCTTAGCCGTTGGTCTCCTTTTATTACACTTTAGTGGCATATTGTTGATTTTAAATAGGCATAAGGAACATGTAGCTTCTATAATTACATGTGCTCTCTAGTTAAATGTAGTTGCGTACATGAAGCATATATCAGTAGGGGCCTACATCATATTTGGCCTAACTTTTCATAATGTTTCTCCTCGTTACACTCAGATGCAAGCAACATGTCATGTTCTACAGACCGTTGAAAATCCGAAAGTAACATAAACAGCCTTAGCTTTTCAATACGGTACGTGACCTGTCTCTTATACACATCTAGATGTGTATAAGAGACAGTTGTAATACAGCGGTAAGATCTCGCCATTATATGTTATCCTGCCTAAAGATGTTGTAAATTTAAAAAAAAAAATTTTTCCCCTACAGCCTTGATAAAAGAATACTGTAATTTAGACTTATATTATGCCAAAAAAAAACAAAAATAAAAAACAAAACAAAACAAAAAAAAACAAAAGAAGTTCAGTGAAGTCTGCTGACACATCTGTCCACCATTTCCTAATGAACTCTGGATAACACTAACAGATGTAGTAGCACTTTTATTATCTGGAGATTCGAATTTAGACGGTCCTGTCTTTAATAAAGAAATATAAGCATTATTCCTTGTCATGAATCGTCAAAATATTAATATATCTCGTAGAGCTAAATATATCGAGAATCATGCGAACTCTACATCGTTAAAATAGGTTACATTGTAGCATGATTATAGAAGGATGAAAATGCCAGCGCAACGCATTAGCCGGGGAATTTATAGGCCAACTATTTCCGAATCCTAATTAGTGTGCTTACATAAAAATGTTTGTTCATTACAGTACAATACGGATTGTAAATAGCTGTGATATAATATAGCTGATTGTGTCATCGTGACACAGGCGCGTGGTGGCGAAGAAATATACATTATAATGAGTGTGTTTTATACCCTGATCGATTCCTCATTTTAATGTGTCTGTCAAATATATTATTTCAGAAAGTTGATATGATGAAAAAATCACCCAAGATTCCATAGGATATTTCTATCCCGGTTTTAGGGTTAGTAGGCCTAGGCAAGACTGTACAATAATGGACATTATTCTGGAATCTATATATGCCTATTGCATATGCAATCACAGCCGGGGTATGACAATGTGTAGGCCTAAAATAATAGTATAATTAATTAATTACCATAGATGATTTGATTATGATAATGGATGCAGCAATAATGATTTCTGAATTATCATTTTGATACGAACCTCAATCGAGGCATATTTTGTAATTATTTGGTGTAGACAGCCTGAGGACTGATAACTGAAAAGAATTAAAACAATCTAATATTTATCACAAATGGGTACCACATAGGCATGAACCATTTAGACTGTTCTTTCATCAATACGTTTGATTATATGCTAATTTTTACCTGTGATTATATTTCTATCAATAACTTGGACGACAGGTTGATGGCGTTTGGGGTGAAATAGATAAGATCGATATATGAATAATCATTAGTTAAACTCTTTAAGGAAAGTTGGTGTATCTCTGTTAAGTTCCTGCTATTATATCGATTCACTTTTCCCATCTGTAATAATGCTGGTTGGGTTGGCGATACAGGCACAAGCCACACGCAGGATGGATATTGCCGAGGGAAAATGCCAGTGGTAACATAAGTCTGCATTCGAAGGTGGATGCGCGGGGAGAAGATATTCTAGTGGTGTCAAGCGATTCAAGCGTAAACTATCTTGATCGAAGATATGACCTTCTGTGTAGAACGAAGCACAGGCGTTATGATATTGGTTGATAGGTTCTGTCGTAGCGTGAAATATCTATTGTTGGAAGCATTTAACGTGGGAAATACAAGCGTACAAACATACGCTACTATCAGTGGTTGCTTATTCATAGAATATTATGACTTGTCAACTCGTGTGTTGTAATCCTCCACAACTTTCTGCATAAGTGAACTTCTTCGACGACGTAATCTTCGTAACTCGGGTCTTTCTCGAAATCTACTTGGATATTTATTCTATCTGGGATCTTTTCACTTCGGGTTGACGATCATCAATTTCTTGTAATTGAATTTTGTTGTGTGATTTTGTTGAATATATCTAACTGGATCTACTTGACCAGATACAAACACGATGCATCAAGGTGTTTCTTCCGGAGGAGGAGCTAAGCAATACGTGAAGCCAGAGAAGAAGAAAAAATCGGACAAAAAATCCAGCCAACCAGCATACGTACCGCGAGAGGGGGTAATTCAAATAGAGTTGAATGAGGTAAAGTGTCTCTTTTCCTACGTTTTGTTGTAACCCTTGTATGTTGTATGCTTGTGTATGTTTTAGGGTTTTTTTGTCAGAATACTTAAGAATGACAATGAAGAGACCGAACCCATACAAACTGCAGTCTTACGGAGTCGCATTGTTTACAAATAATCGATATTTTACCCAACACTGTGTTGGTCGTGTTTACCAACCAAGGAGAACATTCCTATAGTCTACCCCTTGCTATACCGATTTTTTAGTTTGGTAATTGAAACAAATATGGCTTCTTTCCATTCAGGAGGGGAGGACATGGTACACACGAACAACTTCAGGCTCACTAAAGAAGAACGAGTATGTGGTTTTTATAATATACAGAGTGCCGTGCTTAATTTTGCTGTGTTAATAGCAATAATAGACGTGTTACAATTCGCTGTAGCCGCGCAATTTATGCTACTGTAGGCCAAGGGACATTTTTAGGACTCAGTTATTTTGTGTAACACGTTCTACATTCCAATACTAAGCAAAATTTAATGTTCCATGATTGTGATCTTGTTTCGTTGCAGTTTGTTTAAGGGGTTTCGATCTGTGAACTGTCGTGTGTAATTCTATTAATCAAGAAGCAGGTGACTCGAGTTTTCTCGATGAACCAAATCATCGTCGCGTTCACACTAGAAAAGAAATAAACCTAAGGCTAATTGGGAATAACACAGCACCATGATGACAAAGTTAAGCCGCCTGATAGCAGGCCGTTTGGGGCTCCCCCCCCCGGCGCCACCACTGATTGTAAAACAGCGTTACCATCTCGTCTGTATGCTATCCTGCCTGAATATGTTTAAGAAATAAACAATTGAATAAACACCTTGTAATAGAACCTTTTCTGATATGTCAGGTCTGTAACCAGCTTGAATAAGGGGGGAGGGGTGGGGGTGATCATGTTAAAAAAAATTGAATGGAACACATTTTGTATACGGGTGAATGGGGTAGGGGAGCATTTACTACCAATAATCTAATATTTGTTTTTGTTTTTAAGGTAATTTCTGCCTCATAAAATTGAATTAGCGAAATTGTGATAAATTTTGACACAATTATCATATTTCATTCAAGTGTAACTCTCGTTCCAATCCTGGACCACCCCCCCCCCCCCCACCCCTGGTTACGGCCCTGACCGAAATAATGGCAAGGCCATGGTCTTAGTATTTCATTTGATGTCAGGCCCACTTACTTCATATTGTCATTTTCTTCATTAGTCCTATAGGGAAGTATCTCGCCGTGAATACAGTTGTCCCTGCGTTTGGTAATGAGAGCAAATTTGACACTATTACGTCATTATAGCCATTCATAATCATAGAGCCTCTCTCAATGCCGAAAATAGCAACAATTTACAGATAAAAATAAGTCATGAATATTAAAATAGTGTGAGATAATTACATTTAAAATTCTCCTTGTTCCATATTGAATAAAGAATAGT